CCCCCCCCCCCAAAAAAAAAAAAAAAAAAAAAAAAAAAAAAAAAAAAAGTGTTTCCCGCGTTTTCAATTTTTTCAAGTTTTACACTGAAAACGCCCAAAACGACAAAAAAGTCGTTTTGTGTTTTCTTCACAAATTTTTTTCGTTTTCGAAAACGTTTTCGAAAACGGGAAAGAGAACACGTTTTCACCGTTTTGAAAAATCGAAAACAGAAAACGACCCGAAAACGATAAAGAGAACAGGGCCTAAACTTTTCAAAATTGTATGGTTCTGCCACTTTCTTTAACAACTACAAGATCTTGGGAATCCGATACCTGGTCTTTAAGTTTCTTTGTAATGGTACATGCAGTAACCTGTATCGAGATAAATATCAATAATACCATTTCTTATACAGTTCCTCGATTAAAAACAAAAGTAAGGTTGTCAACATCTCCCGTTAATTCCCTCAACTTTTTGAATAACCAATGATTCATCATTCTCGAAATTGATATGTTTTGCAGTTGGATAAAAAATGAGTTGTGGTCTAAAGTGCAGGGGACACTTTTAGTAACTTTTCAATAACTATTTAGAAGAAATAGTGGTGACGATTGCAAAATGTGTGGATAATAATGAATAGTAATATAAATATAAAATTTGTTTGCATAGTAAAAATTGCTAAAATATGCTTCTCAAGCAGAGACAAAATGGAGGAAAAAAAAACATCCTGCCTCGTTTTTTAACCTTTATTTTCGTTTTTATAAAGATTAAGTTGTAGGAAAACTTGGAGGTCTCCAAGGCCTACGGCCAACCCCTTGTCCGCCATATTTTTTTATTTCTCCACTAACTAGAAAATTTCCTCCCAATTCGATGTGAGAAGATACATTTTGCTATTCCTACTATTCAATTATGTTGCACAACTATCATTATCCCCACTATATAATAAAGGCAATTCTGGAGTTACTGTAGAAGCAACAATGAATTTTTCTATTTTGTCTCACTGTAGCTTTTTTTTTTTTTTCGTGAGCAAAAACGATGTCGTTTTCTATTCAACTATTTCCTAGACATGCTACAATGACATTTTCCCTCTTCCTCAATTCGCATTTATCATTTTTATATCTTCTCTATTTTTATACGTTACTGCCATTTTGGTTCTCCATTTGTTGATGAAGAATCCTTAAGATTAGGACTTTCAATTTTAGTCACTATCTTGATTTTTTCCATTTTTGGAAAAAAAAAAAACTCATCTCATTCATTAAGGTAATGAGTGAATATAACATTGCAGCATTTTTATTTTTATTTTCATTGTAGAAAATCTCCAAATAACCCAATTTCCGACCACCCACATTCATCACACAAAAACCATGGGATTCTTCAAACATAATGTCATTACAAGAGTCCAAAGTACCCACTTAGTATTTCATTCGAAAAGACTCAAAATATTGCTTATAATTTCAACGAATTCCTACAATCAAGTAACAGAAAGTCCCAAAAAAATAGACCCAAAATAAAAATCCAAAAGAGGGTTCAAAAAAATCCATTAAACCTTGTAAATACTTTTTTCTAAATTCTACACATTCCACACTAATAATAACATAATAAATACAAAAATTGTGCAACGTACGAGATGCAGACTAGTATTAATAAATAGATTTATGGAAAGTTTAATCTTAAATTAATCTTTCTTTAGATTTACTTAATCAACTTATCAAAGAATATACAGGATAGCAAGTGAGTAATTCTGTATTAGCTGCATTATCATAACAGAAAAAAGATGTATTTTGAGTGTTAATACCCTAAAATTCCCAATCATATGAAATAACTTACCATTTAGTCAGTCAGGACTCATTGTCTATTTGGACATGTATCCTATTTTTCAAGTTTTTGACAATTTTATTGACATTTAAAAATCAATATATATATATATATATATATTCTGATGTGAGAATGAAGAGATAAAGGCATAGTATTTAAGTTAAAAGTAGAATAGAATTACATAAAGATATAATGTGTTGTAAAATTTTTGAGGAAAGATGTCCCAAACGACGATGCCATTAGGGAATCGAAGTAGTTGCAGCTGTAAGTGCATGGGAGGTTGATGTGGAAATCTTGACAACCAACCACTCGTAAACATCAATCATGCTACATGTACAGAGATTTTAAATAGTTTAACACATTGCCAGTTGGCACAATTTCATATGTTCAACGAAAACACAAATTTAATCTTGTCAATTCAGTATTATCATCTCATCATTTGTAAAAATCCCTATGTATTTCATCTTTACAAGGAGCTTAGTTCCTTAAACGTTTCCATTATTCCGACCTTGAGCTAGTGTGATCCTTGTGCTTAGGTCCTTCAGAGCAGAAAAGGGTGGAAAAAATTCCATGAAGGTTCTGTTTAGCTCGCAAAATGGGGAACAGAGTAAATTCTTTCGAACTGTGGGAGCACATAATATATTATTAAGTGTAAATGAGGAATTACGAGTCATTTAGCCGAACTAGTGTGAGTTGTAGGATTACCAGTACTGTCACCTATGACGATATCATAATACTTGAACCAAAAAATAAAAATTGTGTTTGGATTGAGCACTTCACCAAAGTTGACTTTGATGTGTATTTTTAAGAGACCATTCACGTGTTTCCCTGCCTAACATGTACATAAATTTAAAATTGATAAGCAGAAAAGATAATTAAAAAAATGTGAAAAACAGGTAAGATTCTACAGTAAAGGAGAAATTTTCTATTAACATGTGCAAAATATATATTAAGAAAATGAAATTTCCACTGTCAACTACAGCTACCATACTCTGTCTTTCTCTTATAAAAGGATCAGTTCCTCCCATTTTAATTTCATACTTTCAGTCTCTCCCATTGTAATTTCATAATTGCTTTTAACAATCCGATACACTTCTACTTATTCCTACAAGAAAGTTCTATTTTCACTTATTTTACAAGATGAAGGTCCAGAAAGAGAGAAGATTTGCACTACTAATGGCAGCAAGGAATTCAGATTATGTGAAGAAAGTGTACGGTGGATATTTCAATGTATTTGTTGAAGCATTAGCAGGTGAAGGAGAGAAATGGGACTTGTTTCGTGTAGTCGACGGGGAATTTCCCCACATGGATGATCTTCACAACTATGAAGGATTTGCGATCAGTGGAAGCCCTCATGATGCTAATGGGGATGAATATTGGATTCTTGAACTTTGCTATCTTTTGAAAACGTTATTTACCATGCAAAAGAAAGTTCTAGGGATTTGCTTCGGTCATCAGGTGTGTGTGTGTATATATATATATGTTCAAAATAGTATACTTACATAAAATGATACTTAAATTATTAAGGCTAGATTTGCTTATATTATTTCATTTTTAACTCATAATTATGTTTCATTTTTTCAAGGTTTTGTGTAGAGCTTTGGGAGGAAAAGTAGGGAAAGCATATAGTGGCTGGGATATTGGAATAAGAAAGGTTAGGTTTACTGAGGATTTCTCAGTTAATTGGTCTTTCGATTTGGCCGAAATTCCTCCCACTCTTTCAATCATTGAGTGCCATCAAGATGAGGTATATGTCTATTCTATTTTTCACACTTGCATGTTTTTAGTGTGAGTTTGTGTGTGTAATTCTTATTTTCTTAATTTTTTTGTCCGAGAAATATGACGGGTGGTGAAAATAATTGACAGGTTTATGAAGTGCCTGTGGGAGCACAAGTTCTTGCATATTCTGATAAAACAGAAGTAGAAATGTTCACATTTGGAGACAACATTCTAGGAATTCAGGGACATCCTGAATACACGAAAGACATTCTTGACAATCTCATAGATCGTCTTGTCTGGAACAACTCCATTGAGGTACACTAACCGTAAATTGTAAATTCTGTTTACTGGTTTTCAAATCCCTCGACTACTTTTTCCTCTCTCCTCTCTCTCTCTCTTTTTTTTTTTTTTTTTTTTTTTTGACAGCTAGGGCAAAATTTTTTACGTCTTATGACACGAGTCTTTTTAGGATTTAGAACTCGAACTATGCTTAAAAGAAGAAGATTGTAGTAAGTTGACACCTATCACTATATTTTGGTAAATCTCTGGACCCTTTTTTTTCCCTTTCATAGCCGATCCTAAACTCGAATAAAGGAGGGTTTACTCAAAGTTGACAGTCAACGTCAAATTTTGCCACATTTTATGATATGATTCTATTATTATATGCATATCCAATTCATTTACACGTATCTCGTTGTTTACATGCACAGGCAATGCAATGGTCTATTTAACTGCAGAAATTGTCTTCTTAAACTCTGCAAACTCCTTTTTGATATATTTTTTGTCCAATTGCAGAAGGGTTTTGCAGAAGAAGCCAAGTTGAAGTTAAAGAAAGCAGAAGCAGATAGGAAATACTGGGAAAGGATTTGTAAGAGCTTTCTCAAAGGCAGATGGATTGCTCAGTCACAAACATATTTCTGATGACAACTACTTCATTTTGTATGATTTTGTCTAAACTGCCAAAGTTTTAGCCTCCAATCTTTGAGCACTTGTCCATTTTGATAAGTGAAAAGCAAATGTCAATGGCAGTAAATCATTAACTCGTTTAATAAGGTGTGTTCGTATAGCTGGAATAGTTAAGCGGTCAAGAGAGCTCGATTACTTGAATTACATTTTGACAACATAAACAAAGCTAAACCAACAATACTAGGAGCGATACTGTTTCTATTCTAGCCACAGATTTTTTCCCAGAATCCCCTTTTAGTCGAGCTACTATCGAACCTTAGGTGTCAAAGGCATTTGAACCTTAGTTCTATGTTTAATACTAACTAACAAACATCCTCGTTGTTGTAGTCAAGTGATGTTGCTAGTACCAAGGAAATATTGTACGAGAAGATTGGAATCATATTCTCAGATGTCCACATGAAAGGGAACAAAACTTATCCCAGTAAATATTTTAGATATTCTGGAATATATGCACAAGGCATTATACCATGTTAGGTAAGAAAGCAACATATCTCAAAAGCCTCATTGTTATACAATAAGAGGAAAAAAAAGTTTGTAACTGTTCTTTCATTTTCATAACAAATTTCTTTGTATCCCTCTAAAATAAACTGAAGTACCATTATATTTATTATTATGTGCTTGCAGAAGCCAAAAGAATAAGTCAAATAAGTCTAATGTTAAAGCACAATCATTTGTATCCTCCAAAATTCATGTCCAAACTGGACTGTCACCATACTTGGGGAGAATTACATACAAAGTTAGCTGAAATAAATAATTACAGGGAAAACCTGAGGTATGCCTATGACGAACATAAGAACTCAATTAATACAATTCAATCTAGCTGATCCCACATTTACTGGGAATAAGGCTTTGTTTATAGTTTGTTTGTTGTAATTGTTGGAATAATAACTAGTTGCAGTAATGTTCAGAACAGTAAAATGCAAAAATATATATGACTTATCGTCCGATCGAATCTCCTGACAGCATGATGTCCCAAAGTGAAATTGTCCGTCGATAATTGCTGCGACCTCCGTGGACAATCACTCCCAGGATACAACAATCGTAAACCACTTGTGCAGCAATCACGAATAGTTTTTCCAGAACTCTCAATTGTACTCCAAAATATATGTAAAAACCCGAGTATAAGAAAATCAGAATATGAAAATGAAGGATTGATACAAGAGGATTTTTCTATTTTCTTTTTGTATGTATTTTTTCCAAAACGAGATATAGATTTATATAGACAGGATGGAAGTAACAGTCTTCACCATGATCAGAGATTAATTCAGAATTTTAATAACTAAGTAGTGGGTATTTTAATGATTGTTAGTAGGTTGTTACAAAAACAAACAGTCAAGAAATACTTGCTAGTTTTACCCATTAAATAATAATAAAAAAAATCATTTATTTTAGTCAAGGAAGAAGCCCAAAAGCTCAAGGTCCCAATCAAGACATTTTAATATCTGCGTGGGGAGTGACTCGAACTCTTGACGTCCCACACAGATGTCACATTTCCCACCATTTTGGCACTTTATCTAATTTGATTATTTCTTTTACATTTTATATTTATAATATAAATATATAACAGTAATACAACAATTCAACTGGCATCTATATTCCTTTTCTGTAAAGCATACAATGACAACAGTATGCAAAATGAAAGAGCCTGAAGATATTGCTTATTTACTGTCTCTAATGTTCTAATAAATGAGGTGATACGATCTTTGGCGTTTTGCACCCCATGAGAAGTTCAAATCGATCTTCCTTTTATTCCTCCTGCCTGAAACAGCCTTCTTTTTAATCCCGAGATTGCCTTGACAATTTTCAACTCCACAAATGCACTCAACCTCTGGGCCAAATTGCTCAAATCTGCAGACTCAAGAACAGAGGTTTTAGTCTCTGCAGCTGTTTTGCGTCGAACCAAGAGTTGTGTACTAATAGCATGTTCTATAGGGACAGTCTAACCAATACCATTTACAAAACATGCACTTAGGTTCAAGAAAGCTACCAAGTGCCCTCATCACTTGCATGGTGCAGGATGTGATGAAAAAGTAAAATCGACTTGCAAAGAAATCAATCGTCTATTTCTTTTTCTTTTCTTCATAAATAACTAGAAATATATACGAACCAATACTCCTGATATATATTTGCTCAAATCACAATATGATAATTTTTTACTGGCATTTTGATATATTATTTGATTGAATGTACAATTGTGGCTTATTTATCGAAAAGTTCATGTAAATTCAAATCTCAGAAAATAATAAGAAAATTTGAAAGCCATCGAACATACCTGTAGTCGTAGGTTAATGGTTCTCCTACTTGAATGGATGTAGCTGCAAAGACACCAACACGAATCTCCCCATCAACCTGCCTTTTCGAA